GGCGGTTCCCAGCGCCTCCGGAGAGCCCCGAGAGCCGGGGCGTCGAGGTGGGGGACGGCAGCCGCTCTGGCTCTCCGGCACCCGGGTCGGGTTGGTTCCGCCGCAGGCCGGCTCCGTCCCGCTTCCCCGCTGTAGATCCGAGGCGTCGTTTCCCCCCCTTAGCCCGGCTGAGCAGTTAACAGTGGGGCTGAGGATTTTCTCTCTCTCTCAGCCGGCTGAACAGGGAGCCTGCGTCGACTGGGATCCGCCTCTGGAAGCCCCGGGTAGGTGGGATGAATCCAGGCCTCCCCGCCATCCCAGCCTGCTGAACAGCAAACATTTAACAGCGCTTCAGCCTGCGCTGGCTTGGAGGTAAGAAACACTGTAAAGCCGGCCCACAGCTACAGCTCTTGTGCCTTTGCAGCTCTTCAGAGCATCTTAGCCCTTGGTAACACATAGGTTTTCAGTTTGTGCCGGGGTTATGTCCCACAAGCAGCTGAGGCTTTAACAAATGATCAACGTTGCTTACTCAGTTAAATAGAAGCCTGGCATTAAAATTGGTACTGTTTGGCTTTTAAAAGGAAACAGGTGAGCATGTAAGTATCGAGCATCTGGTAAGAACTAGGACATAATGTTAGAATGGCTTTTCACCCCCCATATTACATGCCTTTCTTTGAGACAGATTCAATACTGGTTGAACTAAAATGAGAAATACAGCTTGGATGCAGGAATACATTAACAAAACTTTGTCCTAAAGCCACTTGACAATAGTACCATTGAGTCCTCTTTTTGGAAGGAGGTGTTTTGCTGTATCTGATGGGTACGCTGACAGGAGCTCAATACTGTCATGCAGAATGCAGGAGAACTGGGAATTGATAGATATACTGGAAGAGCCACTGTCAAATGGGTCTTTGTGATACAGGTGGAGAAGGTTCTCTTGTGGGTTGATGGCACATCCTTGTCATTTACAAATGGCTCTTTGGGAGGACACACTGATGGAGATGGCTGTCAGCAACCACAGCAGAGGAAGCTGGGTGTTTTTATCCAGGGGTGGATCACCTTCTCCACCTTAGTACCACAGTCTGTTTATGTTGGCCAGTCCCAGAGTGCCTGTGCTGTTTGTGGAGAGTGATTGTGGAGGAACAGAACAGCTTGGGGATGGTTGCTCTGGGCCGGTAAGAGATGTTGCTGGCTTGCTTTGAGAGTCTTGCATCCCAGGTAGCAGCTGAAATGATGGCTTTTACTGAAGCAGAGGCTGAAGCCTGTGACTCTCAGATGAGGTGTGTTGCACTCTGGCTTGAGATCTGTATCCTAGGGGAATCTAATAACATTGGCATTGCTTCTCTTCAGCCTTTGTTGTGTAAGGGCACGGGAGCTGCACTGAAGTGACTGGTGGTGTAGATTGCGATGCAAGTGCCTCGTGTTGACTGTCTTGTGTGCTAGCTTATGTGTAGGAGTTGGGAGTTAATATTCACACTGTGGAAGAGCTTGGTGAGATTTGTGGCCTGCTTCCAATGTAACTCTGTCCCTTGCTGTGCTACTTCAGCGCTTTCTAATTCAGCCTAAAAAATCAAAAGGACAAATTTCAGGTCAGAATGTTGTAGTCTCCAAGTTGTGTCACGCTGCAGGTGCCACACTTCAGAAGTGTTAAAATGTTTGCCAGAACCATCTAAACAGTACATAGATGTTAACCTTTGTACAGGATTGCCTTGGCAGCTGTTTTAGGGTGTATTTCCACTTTGAGAGAAGAAACTCCTTGGTACGTCTGGGCCTTTACTTTTCAATCTTTTAGGAGGAAGGATTGTCAGCCATGTCTCGTTTCCAAGGCAGTTTGTAGGGAGTTGAAATAAGATGTGTACCTTCCAAGTAGTGATGGGAACTGATGTACTAGATCAAACATGGGGTCTCTTTTGGTCATCCTGTATTTGGTGTTAGTCACCTGTCAGGTCTAGGAAGCACCAATTCCCAGCCTGCCTAACTAAGAAGCTGCCCTGTGGCAGTTTGTTCCTAATCCTCGTGCTTAGTTATCACAAAGGTAATTTAATGATGAAAAGCTTTTTGCTAATGACTGAAGGCCTTAATAGCACAAATAATGTTTTTTCTTAAAATCCCATCAAACTGTTTCACTTGATGTCTTAGTTAAATGTTGCATTAATTCAGATCTTTGGGTATTGATTTCTTGAGTTAGTTAGAACAGTAACTTGTTTTCTAATGATTTTCAATTAACATAGAAATAATGCATCATAAATAACTATTCCTTAGTTATTCAGGGGCCTCCTATCTTCTCTTCAAAAAAACTCGCCAATCAGGTAGATGCAAGTTAAACAGCTTGGAGCTGTTAATATAAAATGAAGTTGTACTTCTAGTAAATCTAACTGTGGCAAATACAAGAAGTCAGTCTTGCATCTTCTCAGTCTGCCTGTATTTTCAAATAACTCACTGAAGATTTGGGTGTTCTTGTCTTCTGGCTCCTGTGCATTTTAATTACCTAGATGCTGTGGTATTCTATAGGCTTCTTAATGTTCAAAGTGATTCCGATGTAAACATTACTTTTTCTGTTTTTCAGTTCTTCCACTGAAGAATTGAGAGGGGCAGGAAGAGGGACCCGACTGTGCAATTGCATCCAATGTAACTAGATTATTTCTTTTTGTAACCCTTCTAGTGTAAACTAATCACATTGTATCATGGCGGCAGACTCCATGGAAATTGATGATGCTTTGTATAGGTAAGAATATCTGATTTTTAAGCATGGCTCTTGACTTCTCAGCAACACGTTTACATACAGTAATGTGAAAAACAAGGCTTGAAAACACTGTCTGCTGCTGGTTAGGTAAAGGTGTTTGTACTTGTGCTGCTGTGTCTCTCCTTTTGTAAGGCAAAAATCCCAAAGTTTTCAGGAAGTGAAATAGAACCAACTTTTTGCAAAGTTAGCAGTGAGAACTCATTGAATTGAAGATACACTCCATCTTTCTGTAAAACTGTTCCTTTATTGGTGTCATAGCAGGTGTTTTCTGACCATTATTAGTATTTGACCGGTAAAAAGCATAGGTAAATTAACATGGAATTGTACAAAGTTCCAATAGTATCAGTCGTGTGCTTTTTGGAAAATAGGAATGATACTTCTCCTGTTTGTAATATGGATTCTTTTTCTGCCTTTAGCTTGCTTCCTCTTTGACAAAGTAGATACTCCTCTCTTTCTTGTTCCTCATCTCTTTTCACTACCTTCTTTTTGCCTTTCCTTTCAATGTGTAATTTATCTCCTTCATAATTTCATTTATTCCTCAATCTTTGTCAGACTTCTCTGTCCTTATGAACGTCGTTAGCATCTCTGTTATCCACCAGACTTCATGGTGTTGGGTTTTGGGGTTTTCTGGTAGCTTTTAAAAATTATTTATTCTTTTATTATTAATTTTGTTTTAATTTGTTAGCTGGGAGTGACTTGAGATCACTTGGCATGGCAATAGTTCAGAGAGCCTATACTGGAATAAATGATATCCTTGGAAAAATGTGGTGGGATGAAAAGCTTCTTTATATATTAAAAAAAATACTAAACTAAAATTAAGAAATCATTTGTATGTCAAATAAATGAGGCTTCTTTTTAATTCAGCACAATGCTTCCTGTGTTGTATGTGTCATTTTACCTTTTGGCACTGGTCTTATGAAAGTAGAAGGTGGTATTTAGAATGGTTGAAGTTTAATTGTATAGTTGGAAACTAAGAGTCTTTCAGAGCTCAGGATCTGGCTACAAAAGCTGCTGCACCCTTTGAGTTGTAGATTTCCGATAACAAATAAGTTCTTTGGCTTGCTTGTGTCTTCAGTAGTTAATTCCAAAAACTTACTGTCCTGAATAGGTTTTACACTGATTTAAAATTAAAAGTTATTTCTCTTCTCTAAAACCTGGCACTGTAAAGGTCAGTGCTAAATGCATTTCACTGTTTGGATTGTGAGTGTAAATGTTTCATTTGATATACATTTATTTCCTAAAGCACTGTACAGTTCAGATACGTGCATGTTATGTCCTCAATTGCTTGTTGAACAGAGGACTGGTAAATAGAACTCTGCACATGTCACTAGTGACACACATTGATCTGCAGAAGTTGGTATTGTAGATCAGAAACTGATTGGGATGATAGAATAACTGAAAATATTTGAACTTTTTTTGGAAATGACTGGGAATTCTTGACTTGCTTTCATATGTTCCTGACTTTATTTGTATCTTGTTTTGATCTGAATTTATCTTTGCTGTAGTCGGCAGAGGTATGTTCTTGGAGACACAGCAATGCAGAAGATGGCTCAGTCTCATGTATTCCTGAGTGGTATAGGTGGTCTTGGTGTGGAGATTGGTAAGTTTGGTAACATTTATTTAAGCAGCTGGCCCAGAATACTTATAAAGCTTATTTCAGATGTAGTAAGTGTGTCTGAAGTTTCTGAGTGAATTTATATGGGCATGATGTGTATGAGTAACATAGCAGATGCTGGAAAAATCCTGGACTTCTCTCTAGTAAACTTTTTACTAAAACATCTTAAATTTTACTTGAAAATGTGCTGCCATGGGCCAGATTGCTTTACCCAAAATCTTGTGACTTGGGTGAAGGTGGAGGGTGGATAATCTCTTATTCCTTTAGGCATCAGTATCAACAAATGTAATACAGTAACAGCTATAGCCTGAATTATCCCCATGTAGGAAACAGGGAGGTAGGAGAACGGATGCAATTTGGTAAAAAATGCATGTCTGCCTTGATGCAAGAGATTCCTTAACAATTTCCCTTACTCTTTATGAGCAAGACTTGTCTTAACTGGCTCTTACCTGGGGTATTACCCTTTCAGTTGGCTTTAATGGTACTTGGCACCAAATGCCAGAACAGAGTCATGGGGTTTTGCAGTTTATTGTCATGACTGTCTCTGTAATCATGCTTGTGAGCCGAACAGCTGACAAATGACAAATGTAGAAAGCCTTTTTAACCTTGCTCATGTTAGTCTGCTTTCAGTGGTGCTGTAGAATGCTGGAGCCAAATGTAAAAGAGAACAAACCCTTAAGCTGTGAAGTTCTTAGCAATGACATACTGTTATTGTCCACCCACATAACTGTTCAATTACAGATTTGCAAGAAATTTGCAACAGTCGCTCTCTCTGTTTTTCTTTTCAGCCAAAAATATAATTCTGGCTGGGGTAAAGGTATGTAAAACAGTTTTGTTGTTGGGTATTCTTGGGTGAGCAGGGGAAAAAGGGATGATGCTACTAGCCAGCTAATCTTAAGTTTCTGAAACTGTCTTTCAGTAGAGGGATTGCAAAACATTTGAGGACCTGGGGGTGAAAACTTAACGATCCGCATGTTCTAGTGGTATGGTTTGAGTCTCAAATCAATGTCCACTGCTCTCTGAAATACCTCATAGAATAATTTAAGCAGCTGCTGATCGGACATTGTACAAAGTGGCCTCTCTTAAACGGAGTGGTATAAACTCAAAACCCAAACTATTCAAAATATGTTATCCTGTTTGACATCCATCAGGATCCTTTTGTGTAGATGTTAGAATGGTTGGATATTTTAATCCAACAACTGCTTTTGTGCTGCTGGGATTATTTTTTTTTTAGAGAGAAGCCTTTTAAAACTCTTTCTTCCAATCAAAAAAAACCTTGTTTATAATTTTGGGAGTTTGTCAATTTACAGATTGCAATTGCCTCAGTATTTAAATGCTCTCATCACTGCAAGCTGGGAGGAAAATGCTTAGTGAAATGCATATTGCAGATGCATTTCTATCTCTCAAACAGTAAGAGTTTTCTCGTAAAAGAGGTTGGAGGAGCTTGTTCTTATACATGGTAGAACTAAATCTTTTGCAGTGATAGTCCTCCAGCATTTTATATGAAGCTTAATCCATCCTTTCGGGTGCCATGACCATGTACACTTCTTCCAGTAAATGCTTTCTGCCAAACTTTCTTAGGCTCTTACAGTTCATGACACCAAGCAGTGCACGAAATGGGATTTGGGGATCAACTTCTTCATCCATGAAGATGACATTACCAGTCAAAGGAACAGGTTGGTGAAGGCTTTGGAGCGAGCTAGAACTGAACCTGACTAGGAGTAACAGTTTCATCAGTGATGAAAATAACTGTTTATTGTACAAGAGCTGCTCATACCTATCAAATACTTGTTAAACCCTTTCTCTGGAGTTTCTGGCTTTGAGTACAGTGCCCAGGTAGGTATTAGGGGAAGACTAAGTTGATTTCTGAGTCAAGCATCTCACTTCTTGCAGTTGGGAGCTTGTAATGTAAATGTAATAATGGGGGCCAGAGTGCGTTTCTTCCTTGGACGTTCTCTGCCACCTGTGTGAGACTAGAAAACAGCCATCGCACCAGATCATCAGTGAGTCCTATTGTATATTGGACAGAGCTGTTTTCCTCAGACCTATTAGGAATTTAAGTGTGAATAAATGAGTTGCTGATTGTTGACAGGAGACTTCCTGAGTGACTCTTGTAGGGCATTTGTGATATGAAATTCTATGTTGAAAATTTAATTTTGTAGATGCATAAAAATCTTGAAAGTTGCTGTTCTTTCAGGGCTGAGGCCACGCTTCATCGTATTGCAGAACTTAATCCATATGTCCATGTAGCAGCATCAACTGTGCCACTAGATGAAACCACAGATCTGTCTTTTCTAAAGCAGTACCAGGTATGTCACTCTTAAAGCAGTTGTATGTGGTACTTTGCTCAGAGCAAACAACTTGGATTTTTTAATGTAAGTAAATAAAATTAAGACAAACTTAAAAATACATTGTGAGATGATGTAAAGAAAGTAGGTCTTGTATTACAACTAATGAAATAGTTGTGCTTGTTTTTTTCAAGTCTGAAACAGTGGTTTTGTGTTCCAGCACTTTCTTAGGACATTTATTATGGAATTTACTGTAACAATAAATAGCTGAGATTGCCATACAATTTTTTTTTTGTTATTTGAAGGTGAAACTGACTTTTTTTTGCAGCTACATAGCCCAGATGTTTTACATATATTTTGTGTGCTGTATTCCAGGCAGTAGAAACTCAGCCTATGTAATTAGAAGATTATTTATGTATGTATCTAATGCAATGTAAGCTCCTCTGTGGTGGAATCAGGATGTTTTCGCTTTTTCACTCAGCTGTTTCCTGCCTGTGTACATGGCTCAGTAGAGTTGGGAACTTTTATTGTGTGGCTATTAGTTATTCCCAAGCTCACCAAGTTTCTGAATGTCCCACCTATAATAAGCTTTGTATAACTGAATGGGGTGCAGTGCATATGCTTTGTAACCCAACACTATCGTAAACTTTAAAATAATGCTTGCAGAAATTGTATGTCTGCAATGTGATGAGCACCAGTACTTGAAGCTTGTGCAGGCTTCTTGGTGTGCGCTCATGAGTATCAGTTGTTTTGCTAACTTTAATCTTAAAATTTAAGATCTGCCTTTTTTCTGAGATTATCCATCATAAGTACTCATAAGTAAGTACAAACAAGTTTTCATAAGTACTCTGACTAGGTTTTGAGTTTCTCAGCTGTAATAAAAAAAAACCAAAATCAGGACACCTGAGTAACTTGTTAGTACTACTTTTTCCATGGCCTGAAGATGTTGATTGCTTTCAATGTCTTAGATTTAATTTCTGTTCTTGTTCACAGTGTGTCATATTGACTGAAGTAAGTCTGTTGCTGCAGAAGAAGATTAATGACTTTTGTCATGCTCAGCAGCCACCTATTAAGGTAACAGAAAAAAATTAAACACATGAATAATCCGTACAGTGAGCGTTCTGAACCTCCAGCATGTTCTATCTAGAAATGGAGAAAGCTTGTTACGAGGTATATAGTTCTATGCAGAGAGCATGTTGATGGAGCAATATGAGTTTTGGGAGTACAATGCTGCTACTCTGTATGTATGTCTGGTGTTATCTAGATACCAGCCCAGATAACCATGGCTTTGTTCATTTAAAAAAAAAAAAAATTCTGTTAAAGAAAGTTTTCACTGTTAACTCATAATTGGGTTCAGAAATGCTCACGCAGGTTCAAAGTCTGTCATGAATGCTGTGCTATATAGTCAGTGGCCTGGTGCACATGACAGGCTTCCCCCATAGAAGTTAAGCCTGCCAGCCTTGAGCAAGGTTGAATGTGAGAGGTCATTCCTTCAGCTTATGCTGATTTAAAGATACTCATGATTTTTACTTTCTTTTGTAGTTCATCAGTGCAGATGTATATGGAATATGTTCACGTTTGTTTTGTGACTTTGGTGATGAATTTGAAGTGCTGGATACAACGGGCGAGGAGCCAAAGGAGATCTTCATTTCAAATATAACACAAGTAAGGGATAGAAGTCGTTGTGCTGCTTTAATTTTTTTGTAATGACTTGTTATTGCCTATGTGGCCAAGTAGAGTTTTTCATTTCAGCAGCCTGCTAAACAGTTGAAAATTGGCGGTATAGCAGAGGCAAACAAAGTTACTTTATTCTTGTGTCTGGATTTAAACCAGTGAGTGATAAAGTCCTAACACTGTAGAGCACACTGATGCCTCCTGGTTATTACTTACAATGTAACATCACAATATTTTTTTTTTTTTTTTTTTGAGAGAGAGAAAGAAATAAATGAGGTGATGTCTAGAGAAGAGGATGTAGCCTTGGTGTGGGAGTAGATTAAGTCTTCTAAGGAAGTCCTGAAATAGGCATGAAAATAGCCCTTTTATTCTGAGAAACTGCAGCACATGTAGAGGAGGACTAATGGAATGAAAAGGGGATGGAGAGCTTGTTTTGAAAAGAAATTTAAGGGTTAGTTTTAACCTACCAAAGCAGAGTCAACAAGAAGAGGATATTATTGCCAATACTTCCAATGCAGAATGTTAGAGAGGATGTCCATTTGATCTTGTATTACTGTTTTATAAATGGAAATGACTTGAACTCCTTCTCTTGACTCTGGAAGTCCAGAATATAACCTCACTCATCCAGTAGCAAGTCTTTTGTCCTATCTCCAGCCTAGATGTAATAATAACCAAACTAGAAGGGTTTGTATAGCAAGTTGGGTTTGATCTGAATTAAAGCTCATGGTATTATGATTTGGGTAGCCTGTTAATTGGTATCTTTGAAAAAGAATGGATGAATTGATTGTTCTCATTAATTACATAAAGAGTACACAGTTATGTTTCGTGGCTTGTGCTGATTGCCTGCCAAGTCAAGGATTGAAGATACATCTGTGTGTGTGTGTGTATATATATATATATATTAAAACCTGTGATTCACAATCAAACACCTGAGTTTAGTTGTATCTTGTTTCCACCCTCTGAAATGTAAAACTGACCAGAATTCCAACTCACTCAATACCAAAAATACCATCAAGTGGCTGTTCTTGTCCTGTGGATGGGATCAAGGTGGCATCCTGTTCCTAAATCAGAGAAAAATTTTCTCTGGTCAACTCATTTTCCATTCTTCATGCGACAGAGAATGTAGTCCACTGTAATTATGTTTTATGCTACTTAAATGAAATCCTTCTAATATTGGCAGCTCAGGAAGGGATGGTAGGAGGCTTTACAGGGCAGGCTTGATGCAAATCCACCATGTTACAGCCTGAGCTGGGCCACAAGGTGTTGATCAGCTGTCCTCAGACTGCAGAGGGGTCTCTGTGCACGTGGGAGGTTGGCACGACATCCTATGACAGGGTGAGATGATGTCCAAGATTCCTGCAAGTGTAAGCTTGTTTGTGATCTGCTTGAGGCTATGGTTTTCTTGTATTTGAGGATGTCCAGCTTTGTAAGCTTTCTAACTTTCAAGAATGAGTTTGTGGTGTTCTTTTTAAGGAAATCAGATGGAAAGGAAGCATGGATCAATAAGGACCTTTCACAAGAGTTTGTTTCTTAATGTCTGTGAAAATTTCTTTGTACATATAATCTGTTTTAGATTTGGAAAAGGAGGTAAATTTGCTACTACTTCAGAACAGAACAGTGAATTATTTGACTGCTAAGAACTAACAAATGCAGTTTTCTGACATGCTGAGGACCATATAAGGTAGAAATGAGGAAGTCTGTGTTATGAAAACACTGTTAAACTGAAAATAGGTAACTCCCTTGTTATGGCAGAACTGAGGTACTAAAAGTAGAGGCTGCAGTTTCAATAGGCAAAATGCTACATGTCTATGATAAAGTGTGACTCCTTTACACAAGACACTTTCTTCCTTGCTAACTGCCATTTCCACTTTCAGTCAAATCCTGGTATTGTCACCTGCCTTGAAAATCACCCACACAGGCTTGAAACGGGACAGTTCTTAACCTTTCGGGAAGTTAATGGAATGTCATGCTTAAATGGATCCACACACCAAATAACAGGTAAACTGTTGCTGACTCATTTGCAAGGTATTTATTTTTGGGTGTGTTTTAGCTTACTGTAACGTTAGTTACTGTATCCAGAGGCGTGCTGGGTTGTGTAGACCTCCAATGAACTTGTACAAAAAAATTGCTTTCTGGTACAGAGGTCTTCCTAGTGTTCTTTTGACCCCATTTTCATTTAGTAAAGTCTTTGCAAACTCATCTCGCTGCTTAAGGAGTAGTGGAAACTCTCAGCTAGTGGAAATTACTTGGCAGTCTCTGAGGTTATTTTAGTTTAGTGACAAAACTGTTTTGTTTTTTGGACGGTCCTGTAATGTCTGCTCTCTGTCATGGTTTTGGACTAAACTAACACCACTTTGTGTGTCACTGTTTGCCTTGTAGTTTTTTGGGTGACAGTTTAAATGTACAGGGGCACAACTTGACATCACTCTTTCTAAGCATGGTTTTGAAGTTATTCTCATTATTTATGTTTACTCTGCTTTGATCTGCATCATGCATGTCTCAAGGCGTACTGCTTGGTTCCTTTTGGCTGCTGGGGAACTGCCCAGTTTCCAGATCTGAATGCCTCTTTGTCTGGAGCAGAAGAGAGAGTGTGTTGTTTGTGGTTTTTTAACTCTTTTGTAGTCTGAGACAAAAGATATTCTTAAAACACGTGGTTGGGTCTGTTTTCTCTGGACCCTTTTGTTTTGCTAACGCTGATGCTGTGTTCAGTTCCTTCCTCTTAATCACAGCCCAGCTTTTGGTTTCAGTTTGCCATGAATTAACAATTTTTATGTCTTCTTGCTTTATCTGAATGATGCTTCAGATGGTATGAGAGGAAAGATGTGACATAAATGCTCCAGCTCCTTTTTGATTGCCAGTTTTTCTAGTCCTGGGCTAAAATCCCGCTCTGAGCAGCATACTGGACATTGCTGTGCACAGTCTAAATAAAACTGAGCATGATTTAATTTTTGTTGCAGAGCTGTGGTCATCAGAATTCTTGTTAAATCTGCTGCCACTTTAAAAAGGTTATTTCATAACAGATCATGTGAAACTAATACTTCAGCCCAGAAGCTGAGAGAGAGGGACAATCCTGTTAGGGGGATCAACTGTGTTTATTCTTTCAAAGCAAGTTTGCACACTACAAATTCACAGCATAAAAAGCATTGTCAAAACACCACTTTATGGTGTACAGAATTGTAGTATCCAACGACACTTTTAATTATCAGTCACTGTTTATTCTTTTCAGTGGTGTCACCTTATTCCTTCAGCATTGGTGATACATCAGATATGGAGCCTTACTTACATGGAGGCATAGCTGTCCAAGTGAAGACGCCCAAGATGTTTTACTTTGTAAGTGTGTGTTTGACATGACCAAGTTCTTGAGTATTAATGGTCTGAGCACTGGAGGCAGCGTTCAGCAGGTACATGATTTGGTTACCCGTGATTTGGGATTATGCTAGCTTTATTGGGTAAGAATAACGTTACTGATTTAGTAAACTGTAGAGAGTAGGAAATACCTCAAAGTTACCTGCCAGTGTATAAAAAAAAAAAAAAACCACCTTATGGGCAGCCTATCCCTGTTCTGCTGGGGTCTCCATGAAGGTCTACGAATATGTGGTTTCTTGGCGGCCTTCTGAGAAGAGTCAGTTAGATGAGTTTGTGTAAGAGGGGTTGCAAGCTACATTGCGGTCTGTGCCTTTTTTGGGCCTGCAGAAAGTAGATCCTGACTGCCTGTAAACATTCTTCAGAAAATCTGGGAGCAAGGACCAGCTGCTTCTGGTATGAGAATGCACATCTCAGTATCTTGTCTCTGTGAAACAGTGGCTTCCTGTTCTTCCTGAGTGGAAAATTTCTACAAGCAAACATCCAGCTGCCTACAAAATCTTTGGTAGCCAACCTCAGAGCAGTTTAAGAGATGGGTCTTGCCACTAGGATATGAAATGAGACTCTGACCGTTTTCGTTAGACAAAACTGGCAATAGATGATTGGTTTATGCATCTTTTAGCATTAATAACAGAGAGAGTAACAGCAATGCTAGTAAGAAAGGATATTTGGTTCTTAATCTTTCCAGGAAGAGTATCGTTTTGTCAGGTAGTGGTGACTGTTGTGTCTTTAAGTGACTGTGTTTTTATTATGAATTCTGTTTTTCCAGGAACGGTTGGAAAAGCAGATAACAAATCCATTATGCCTTGTCGCAGATTTTAGCAAGCCTGAGGTAATTAGCACGTGGGACTTTGGGTGTAAGGACTTTAACATTAAAACTACATGGAATGTAATCTGCAGATTTATGTGTAGAAAAATACAATTTCCTAAGTCTATTCTGTAGTAGTTAAATATGAATTTAAAGTGTGAAATAAGAGTGAGGTATCAGTTTGTGTTGTCGGACAGAATATTCTTTATGGTTTAGATCACCGTAGAGACTTGTTATCCATGATTTGCACCAAGTATATTGCAAATGCATAGTGCAGCTATCTCTGCTGTTTAAAATATCGGTTTTTAATGAGTCTTTTAATTCATAGGATTGTAAATTTTTCCTGTATTTAATGATGTTTGATAACAATCACTCTGAAATCATAGCTGGGAGAATCAGAAAAAGGTGATCATATTTTTTTTTTTTTTTTTGTAAATGACTCAGAGGTATTCTTAAAATCCAAGAGGAAGCTAGGAGTACTTGCCTCAACACAATTTTAGCTAAGTATTATGTACATGCAAGGCATGTAAGTCTCAGGCTTATTAAAATCTTAAACTGAAAAATGCTGATCTAATGATTTTTTTTTTTGTTTATTGGATAGTGTAAGGTCTGACTTGCCTGTTCAGATACTTTTGACTCTTAATGCTGGGGTTTGTCATTGATGCTTGGCAAAATGCAATTCATTCTAATACCTAGTTAAAAGATTACCACATTTTCCAATTTCAGCACTAAATTCTTTTGGGGACTCTTTAGTTGGACTTAGTTGAAGTGGATGCTGAATGTGTGTGAAGGGTGTTGCATTACTGCTGAGCAATACTTTATAGTCCCAGTTTGCAAAAACATTAAGGTATTTTAAATACGGTATTTCAAATTCACTTTTTAATGCCATTTAAAAACGTTTTTGGAGCGGTATGTTTAAGAGACAAGGAAGTGAAATTGTAATAGAAGAGTTCAAATAATTGCTCGTTTCCTTCAGTTTTCTCGAGTTTTTAACTGATCAACAGCTATTGCTGTTTTAACAGGCACCTTTGCAGATCCATGTCGCCATGCTTGCCTTGAACCACTTCCAGGAGAACTTTGGTCGTGGACCGAACATTGGGTAATGCAGCAGTCCTGTGTTTGCTAAGCTTTGAATCAAATAGATCTCTCCTTTTACTGTAATTGCTTGGTTGGTGTTCTGCAAGGTATCTTGTCTGTCTGGTATTTAATAGATGACATAGAAATGAAATGTTGAAATCTAGAGGAAAAGTGTTACTTAATACCCATCTGGGTTTGTAACAGGGCTTTCCCAATATAGCAGTGGCACTTTCTAGGCCCAGGTAGACAGAAGATGTTTCTGGAGGAACATCTGTTCCAGCTTTTTCACATTGTGGGGTTAATATGGAAAAGTTGTTTCAGTGATTTCTGAATTATCCTGTAGTTTATGGATTTAGGAAAAAAAAAAAAAGTCTGAAGGATTTGTCTTTCATTTTCAAGATTTTTTTTCCAGATGTAGTTCTTGGTGTGCATAATTTCGTGTTAAATGAGACAAAACTACTTACAGAGTATAAATCTTAGGACTGGACTTGCACGTGGTCTTCTCCACTGAGACTCCTGTTCTTGAGCTAACCCTGACGTTTTGAAGTACATCTTTAATGCTCACTGTTAAAGTCAATATAAATTTCCAAACTCTTCCTACTGTATCCAGTGCTTTTTTTTCCTCTGTTGATTGTGTTTGTAGAAGGACTCTGGAATGTTTAATGAACTCTGGAACAATAATGTGATCATTATTGTTTCTACCCTGGTGTCTAGGTGCCTTCAAGATGCTGAGGAAATGCTGAAAATAGCCATGTCTATAAGTGAAACACTGGAAAACAAAGTGAGTAAAGAATCATCATCATCATCATCATGAGTCATTTTTGATGCTCTCATTTCCTTGCCTAAAGGTCATGCTTTAGTTGTTGGTCCTTGTTCTGGTCTTTGTATCCATCTTTAGATGGATCAGCTGTCTTTCTAAAGGCCATGCGAGGAAACAGAATGGTGTTTCAGCATAGGTTCAACCAAACATTCACCTGACATGGAGACAATCCTGTGGCTCTTTGAATCCAGTTTTTAGATAAATGCATATTACAAGTACAGGGTATGCAGTGGATCTGTCTTGGCTGGAAACCTTTTTGCTAGTCAGAGTGAAATAATTTGTCTTTTACTGAAGAACAGTAATCTATGAAAATGTCAAGTACTGGCTTGTTCAATTGAAGGGATAAATCTGTTGTTGTTATGTCTTATGTTTCAGCCTCAGGTGAATGGAGATGTAGTGAAATGGCTGTCTAGGACTGCTCAGGGATTTCTAGCTCCTCTGGCTGCAGCAGTGGGTGGTGTTGCTAGCCAGGAAGTCTTGAAAGCAGTAACAGGAAAATTTTCTCCATTGCAGCAGTGGGTAAGGCTGTCTTTGGTTTTGGATCTTTATTTTGACAGTGATGTTATGAATGTATGCTTGTGTGTAAATGCTGTATGATCAAAATAACCTGAACAACTTCTATAACAGGGGGGAAGAAAAAAAAGCTTGAGACTGAATTTAGGAAGAAAATAGTGGTTTGGTGTGTATGATAAAAGTGCAGCCAGTTTTAGTCAAAATTTTCGCATTTGGAGTTTAGCCATCACTTTCTGTTTCCTCACAAGCAAGGAGAGCATTGGCTTGCCAGTGCATGGCTGCAAAGGTGTGATATAGTTCAGATGCCATCTTAAGCTACTATATATAAGACCGGTGCTTTCAAACTGTCAGGATCAGTGTCAGAATAAACTTAGGTTTAAAAATTTCACAGTCTCATTTGGGGGGTAATGTGCCTGTCAGAAGCCAAAAGCTTATGGCTCATGTTTCAGGTTTTCCCCTCTGTGTCCAGGTGCTTTTTCCTGTCCACTAAAATTGTGAAGTGAACTGTAGGGAATTGAATGCTGTGAAGTCTTCCACTGACAGTAAAAACTTAGTGCTTCTAAATTTCTAGACTCTGTTGTATGTAGAAAATACTTACTTTGATGTTATTTTCATATATAAAACTCAGTTTTTCACAGGTTTTTACTTGTTTTTTTCTTGTCTCTTTTTTTTTTAACAGCTATATATAGATATGTTAGACGTTGTAACACCTCTAGAAAAGATGGGCTCTGAAGAATTTCTTCCACGGTAAATATAACTACAGTCTGCTGGTTTATGTACTGTTCACATTTGAGTCTCAAGCAGGCACAGAAGATGTTTTTTAAAGTTAGGTTCAGTGCTATTTGCTGGAGGGACAGGTTTGGGGTTGAGAATGTGTGTCCTAATTTGAGCATGGGAGGAATAGGAATTATAGGGGTCTCGATCTGATTTCCTTCATGTCCAAGTGCAGTTTGTCATCAATGATACTACTGTGGTAAATGGCAACTTACTTGTCTTCTGGTTTTGTCTCCTGTGCCTGCTTAGGGGAGATAGGTATGATGCCTTGAGGGCTTGTATTGGAGACTCTCTGTGCCAGAAGCTGCATGATTTGAATGTTTTCTTGGTGAGTATGACTGGCACTGTTACACTCTTTGCAAATGCTTTGTTGATACAGCTAATGTCCATTGTCCTCAAAATAATGAGAGCAGCCTTGATGATGTTTGCTGCTGTAGAATAAATGGTCCAAAATTGTAATGGGACTTGGCTATTATACTTCATGTTTTTCACTTACGTTTCTGACTGTAAAAATGTCATTTTCTTTAGGTTGGCTGTGGAGCGATAGGCTGTGAAATGCTAAAAAACTTTGCACTTCTTGGTGTCGGTAGTGGGCAAGAAAAAGGATTAGTAAGTCACCTCTTAACCTCAATTTGCTTATTAAAAAGTAGTGTGACAATGAATAATTAAATAATTAGACTACTTAAAAGTTTTAAAAGTCTAAGACTTATTTTAGCTTGATTTCTACACAGAGCGTAAAATGGCCTCAGCATAGAGTGGAAGCAGTGTGTAATTGGAAGCAGAACACACTTGGAGCAGTGTTGCTGTATTTTGATTTTAAAACAAAAACTAATCAGTCAGTACAGACAGTGCTGGTAGCCGCAGTGGATGCCAAGAGCAGTGCTTTAGTTTGACAAGTTTATATAGAGATTTCATCAAGATTATTGCTCAGTGCTACACTTGTAACTTCAGCTATTGCTTTTGCCCCTTCTGACTTAGGTTACAATTACAGATCCAGACCTGATAGAGAAATCCAACCTGAACAGGCAGTTTCTTTTTCGACCTCATCATATACAGGTAGGCTTTCTTGTTCAATAAACATTGTGGACTATTGTTCTGTATCTCCCTGTCTTGTGCCCCAGCTGAGAGCTGAACATGTGAGTGTATGTAGTTCTGTCCGGAAAAGACTTAAAGACTGTAATGAAATCCAGTATCTTTTGAATTAATACCTAGAACTACACTGGCATCCCAGTTACCATTAGTACCAGTTGAGTAAAATTGACTGATCTGATCTTAATTCATACTGGTGTTTTTGACTAATGAAATCTCTTGAACTTGAAAATCAGATGAGGATGTTGCATAAGAGGCTGCCATGGGTAAATATGCCAGAAATGCTTTACTATACCATTTAAATTTGGGGAGAACAAAACAAAACAACAAAAAATAGCACTGGCAGAAGCGTTCTCAATAGAAGAGCTACTGCTGATGAACCTGACCAAAGTTGCTATCTTCTAACTTAATTCAGTCTTAATTAAGCTTGGTAAATATCTTGGCAAAAAGCCGCATAGATTCAGTAAATGCACGATACAGAAACGATTGCTTAGATGCGGAAAGAATATCCCTGTATTTGCAAACACAGCACAAAATAAAAACAGTGGCTCAGATCTTGGCAGCAATTGCGAGAAGGGATTCCCCTGCCCAAAGCCCAGCAGCTGAATTTTCTGCCTCCTGTTTATGCCTAGCAAATCTGGGAACAGATTACATTTTGGATGGATAGATAAATGGAAGGTGAACTCTGCAAGCTTTCAGAAGCCACACTGTCTTGAGTTCTGCTGTTCTAAGTGCTGATCCCTAGATAATTGAATGTAGTATGGCTAGAAGTGTCAGGTAGGTTAAAAACTCTATTTCAGTTTAGCTTCTGAAATTGGCTTTGTGTGAAATGCCTTGCAGAAATGTGATTATTCACAGGTGGTTTTGATGTCTATGCTGCTTATACATAGTCCCAGTAACTAATGGGCTTATCCTCTGACAGTCATGAACTGCTCCTTATGGCATTTTTGAGAGCGTGAGAGGCAGCACGTGACATCGGGTTCAGTTACTCGATATACACTTCTGCTGCACCATCTAAGTACTTTCACCTTGTGGTCTCTAATGTTCTACTTTAAAGATATCAATAAATATTTTATTAATCTAGTTTTATTTCTCAGGGAGATACATGATTAAAGAATTTCCTTTATTGTACATTTTGCATACTAACATTTCTGTCAATGAATTGTTGTCTGATCAGCAAATGAAGTTGATACTTTTATATCCCAATTATTATTTATCTGAATATTGTTGATATCTATCTATCTATCTATCTATCTATCTATCTATCTATCTATCTATCTATCTATTGATACTTTCAGAAACCTAAAAGCTATACTGCAGCAGAAGCAACTCTGAACATCAATCCCTACTTAAAGATTGACTCATATATTAATAAAGTTTGTCCAGCCACTGAGAACACTTACAGCGATGAATTCTATACCAAGCAAGATGTGATTGTGACTGCTTTGGACAATGTTGAGGCAAGGAGATACATTGATAGGTGGGTTGTGGAAAGGAAGCGGGGGCTGCTTTTCATGTTCTTATGTGAACTCTGCTTTGCTATTCTTGATCTTCCTGATCTGCAACTGCTTATAAGATCTGATAGCAGATTGTTCAGATTTATCTTGCTCCTTTATAGGGATGCTGGCTGCCATGAGGAAGGTTTATACTTGTGGTGGAAACCAACTCTGCCGTTGTGAGGCTGCTACTATTCACATGGCAGACAGCCTTGGACAGAGTTCTTGAAAATGCAGACCTGTCAAGGTCTGATGAGGGAGAAAATACTGTGGCAGTCTTAAGGTGCTCAGGTTTATGGTATGCTGATCTAACTTGAAATAGCTCTTCTTATTTAAACTATTCTTTTCCCAAGTTTGGTGTAAGCTTTCCACTCTTCTGCAAGTGCCTAGACTCAATTCTAGTTACACTGTGGTAATGTCTGCAAGGGAAGAGTGTAGTGATTACACTGTATTCTGATTGTCTGTTTCTTTCCATGTCAGTCGCTGTGTAGCAAACCTGCGTCCTCTTATAGACTCTGGAACTATGGGAACAAAAGGACACACAGAAGTTATTGTGCCCCGTCTGACAGAGTCCTATAATAGTCACGTAAGTGTTTTAAGACCATTGCTTACCTCCTGTAGCTAGTCCCATAATGCCCTCTGAATCTTTAATTGTTTATGTATCTGTCTAAAATAAGTGCCCTATTTGAGTTGCTGAAGTTCAGTACTATGAGAAAATAATTACTTCCTTGGTTTCTGAAGAAAAGCTCACAGGAAATAACATTTGAGCGGACTGGAGACACCATGTTTGCTACCTAGCTGATGATTACACCTAGGCCAATATTTAAAAACAACTACTATATGAATCATGAAACATAAGCTTTGGAAAATATCCTAATTCTGAAGTATTTCCAAGGGACTTACTTCCCCCCCTGCCCCTCCCCTTCTAAATCCCTTCTAAATAAGAATCTAGTCCCATGGTGGCACTGCAAACTGGTTTTGTACTTGTGGGTTTCTTTTAGAACTGCTTTCTGCATGTTCATTCTGTTCTTGGTGAGTATCACCTGCACAGGCAGGTAGGAGAAACACAAGCCTCTGTAGTAGGAATTAATCTGCCAGTTTCTACAAGCATACCTAACAGTTCTGTTTGAATGGGGAAGAAGGAAATGAACCTTCAAACTCTTGTGGTATTCCACCATTTAAGTTATGGTGAAACTGCCTTTACAAGGTAGAAAATCACTGATTGAGAACACCGTGAAATGGTGCCATGTGTGCACAGACACAGAATTTTGAGCATCCTAACAGTCTTGCTAAGGTCCACAAAGAAAGCAGTCTTTCAGACCTTGAGTGGAAGTGTATTTTGTGTTGAGAGTGTATGTGAATGCGAACTGCTGTCTTGGAAAAGCTGGCTGGCAATTTCTTCTGTTGTTTGTGTTTCAGAGTTCAGTTTTGTTTTCTGATGTTCAGTTTAGACTAGTCATCATAAACAGGAAGTGGTATGTTAGTGTTCATAAACCAAATTTTGTTCTAAACATAAATAAGCCACCTTGTAGTTTATAAGTGGAGTTTTAAACTTACATAGTCTAGAAATTCTTGGTGCTATTATTAGCAATAAACTTTAATAAGCCTGCATTTACAAGCAACTCTCTTTACTTACAGCGGGATCCACCAGAAGAAGAAATACCTTTTTGCACCTTGAAGTCTTTTCCAGCTGCCATTGAGCATACGATACAGTGGGCAAGAGATAAGGTAAGTGAATAAGCCTACTGGCATTTGGCATAACTTAATGTGTATTTGGAATGGTGGGGGATCTGATGTACTTCTTGCAAAATGCCATATTTGTTCTTTCTATTTTCTAGTTTGAAAGTTCATTTTCTCACAAGCCTTCATTGTTTAACAAATTCTGGCAAACCTATCCATCCGCGCAAGAAGTTTTACAGGTAGGGGAATGTTGCCAGGGTAAAACACCGGGTTTAAACTAATGCTTTAAGGATTTTGCATCTATATAAGTTCAGTGAGCTGTGGGTCATTTTCAGACATTGTTCAGAAAAACTGAAGGCTTATTTGGCCAAGTCATTAGTTGGTCTTTCATGGGAACAATATTTCTGGTCTCGTAATTAAAAGCCAGAGTCTTGGCTGCTTCTGTAGGTCATGCATGCTCTGTACGTGATGTAGAAATATCAGAAATACTGAGACACTGCTAGCAAGTGTATAGTAGATGTCACACTGATGTGCAACCAGCTGGGAAAAATGGAGGGAAGACTTAGTTTCAAGTTAATTCAACTATGTAATAAATTAGACTCAATTGCTTAATATCTTTTCTTGTGAGTCTATAATGGCCTATGGTCCATAGGCCTGGGTGGAAATAAATCAAGTAGACCACAGCACCTGGGGAAAAACCAGCAAAGAGGATTACATAGAGGATATATCACAAAGTGACCCTCTGTTTTCTTTTGCTGTTTGACTGGGTTGGGAGGAATCTTGTCTGTTCTAACATTTTCCTATTTCCTTCTCTATCTAGAGAATAAAATCAGGTGAGAGCTTAGAAGGCTGTTTTCATGTTATTAAAACACTCAGTAGAAGACCTCGAAGTTGGACTCAATGTGTGGAACTAGCAAGAGTAAAATTTGAGAAGTATTTTAGCCATAAGGTAGGTAAGGCCTGGAAATGAGGTGTGATAGACTGATGAGGATTTTAGAAAACTTGGTAGCCCTAATAACCAGGTTTCCAAGTCTTTGCACTTATTTCCATCTATTCATAAATAATGAATTGTACTTGAAACTTCAGAATGCTGCATCCCCTCCTCTTTCTATTGTAGTACTTTAAGTCTGGTTTATTAACTCGCTCCTAATGGCTCTGTTCAGTAGTCTTCATGGAGTTTTCTTGGCATTTTTCCAGGGCAGCAGGATTACCAGATGTCTTTTACTAAAAGACAGTGGCTTTTTGTTTCCCCCACTGAACTTCTGTTACTGAACTTATCTTCATATCCCTGATTTTCTCAAAGATGTCACAGAAAGGTTGGCTGAAATAAGAGCCAGTCATTCTGAGAAACTGGTCCCCAGTGTTGCTTAAAGCATGTGTGCGTGTAATTTCATAGGAAAGATGTGATTCTAATGTTGCATATTAATAAACATGTCTGCATGTATGAAAGCCCTGGTGGTAGTTACCACATTGAGAAAACATTGCATTCCCAATTGTGAATCAGTATTCAAGAATCCTAAAGTGACAACAGGGTGGGGAAACACTTTATTTGTTGGATTAAGTGCCTTGCTTGGAATTGGGACAGATGAGGTGACACTGTTATCTTTGTCCTGTGAGTGAATGGGCAAGTCACTCTGTCTAGTAGTACTTGTGTCTTTATCATCTTAATTCAGCCATCTTAGGTTTTCTTCACTCTTTAAATTCCTTCAACTACATATTTGGAGTATCTTTAAAAGCTACATCAAGATTCACATCACTAAAAAGAAGGTTTGATTTAGTGTGGTCATGTCAATCTGTATAAGACACATTACTAAGGCTACTCTGGCTTTTCCTTTAGGCTCTTCAGCTCCTTCATTCATTTCCCCTCGATACACGATTAAAAGATGGAAGTAAGTACAAATACCCCTTTGCCTGTTGTGAATTCATGGTGTACATCATGCATTGCTGCTCCTGACCCCTTAGGATTTCATCTTAAGACTGTCTTCTTACCAGGTTTGTTTTGGCAATCACCGAAGAGGCCACCTTTCCCAGTGAAGTTTGAATTTAATGATCCTTTGTAAGTATGGTACTACCACTGATGCATTTTACAGCATCTTATAGAACTCATCCTGCAACAGAAAGTGCAAGGCAGTGGCTTTATAGCACTAGAAGCTGGACTGGTACTTGATGGGTACTAGTGCGTAGTCTTAACACTGTGGCAGATTCAGTGATCTGTCTTGTACTTTCACTGCAGGTAATTTAACTTCCACTGACTTGGGATTGAAGGGTGTGTGGGAAGTTCTGACAACATCTAATGTGAAATGGCTTAGAACAACCCATTTCACTTATTATATGACTACAGAATTGGTGACATATTGCTGTCATATCTGCTTGTCCCCACTGGCCCACATCATGAAATGCAGGATGTGCTAAATTAAATTCACTAGTAAAAATGATCTACTGACCCTTTTCTTCCTCGTCACAGTTTGGGTCTGATCTAGATGGCTTGCATATTACAGATAATTTATATTTATCTGGTTGAAGGATTGAAAAGCTTTTATATGCCTCATTGAGAAACTGTTTGGATCGCCGTTTTTAGTTTGGGTGAAAACTGAGATCATGGCAGATATCAAAGTATTTCTGAGGTGAAGCTTTTTATTATCATATTGATGTCATGGGAGCATTTGTAGTTGTTTTCTTGACTGTAGAGGTTAAGGAAAGACGGTTTTCATTAAATAACTCTTTGCTCATCAAAGTTTGCTTAGTTTTGGGGAGGACTTCCAAGTCCTTCAAAGATTGTCATCTCTCTTGTACCGTGTGCACTGAAGGGTGGAAATTCTGTTACTCTGTGTGTGTTTTCTAGACCTCTTAGAACATGATTGCAAACCTTTGGGCAACTGAAGTAAAAACCCAACCAAACAAAAATAATTACCTTCCTCTTTTCTTCAGGCACTGTGGTTTCATTGTGAGCGCAGCAAAACTCTTTGCAACAGTGTACTGTGTTCCCTTCACAGAAAAGGTAATCCATATTGTAACAGTGTTCCAACCACATAATTTGGATGCACATGTTCACTTCTGGCCTGATGTCCAGTTGCCAATTCTTTCCAAGAACTGGTTAAAGTGATTCTTAGAATAATCTATCCTCCAGCACTGGCTGTTCAGTAGCCACTTATATTTAGTCTTCCTTATTTAAATCCCTAACCTGAAGAGGAAATGAGTAGTGCATTGTGTATTTTCAATAAGCACTGAACTTGGAAATTCTTATTTTGATAGGCCTATTCCCTGGGCAATATAATAACTGAACTGAAAGAAGATCTCTTTATGGCATTTTTTAAACTGTCTTAGCTATGGTCTGGGAGTTTTATTTTTTATTTTTCACAGCCTCTGTTGCTTATCCTCTGTTTTTCTTGTTTCCCTTTTTCTTTTCTAATTGGATCTTCCTGTAAGTCATGTTTACACTTCAGTTCTGTTCATTTTTCAAGTGCTATGCACTTCACACTGCTCTGGTTCACTGTGGCAACCGAAATACTACTTGGTGTTTCAGTAATGATGTTTCACTGAAGCGTCATTGAATGTCTGTGGGATGTTTTGGTATTCTTTGAAATGTTAGTGGATATGGAGTCTTTTTGCAGGGGCCTTTTTGAGTTGATGTCAATTTAAATTGTTTTTCTTCAAAACCATAACAGGATTTGTCAGAGGAAACTATTTTGAAGATTATTTCAGCTGTGAAGGTACCAGAGTTCAGACCTTCAAACAAAGTAAGTGTGAACTTTAGTTTAAAGAAAAAAAATCCCCAAGCGGTGTCCCACATCTTTAACTACTTGCATTGATGCTGATGAGCAATAAACACAAATTAAAATGGATTTGGGGGAAACAATAGTATGGCATACAGGACTGCTTTAACTTGATACAGCTAAGGTATCTATGTACCAGATGCTAAATGCAAGATGTGGGGGGGTTTCCCTTTTGCAAATGGCGTGCTATAGCATTATTTTCCATTCATGAGTGTGATTGTAAGTCTGCAAGCTTTTTTTAAGTTTATATCGGTCTCTACTATTTTATTAAAAGTAGTAAAATTTTGCTCGTAAGCAACTTTAAAGCTATCCAAGACTAGTGTCGATTTGTTACTACTTTCTAGGTAATATAAAAGAAGTGTCATTACTTTTATTTCTGAGGTGTTCAAACCAGCTTAAGAGTTACCGTGCAGTGGCTAGCATTTGTCATAATTTAAAATCAGTAAATATTCTAAAGGCATTTTCATATTTTCTTGCCCAGTGTTAACGTCTCATGAATGCTTCTCTTGTGAGACAAACCTGATATTTTGACTTGAAGTCACAGAATTGTTGAGGTTGGAAGGGACTTCTGTAGACTGCCTAGTCCAATTCCCTTCCTGAAACAGGGACAGCTAAAGCAGGTCATCAAGGACTGTGTCCCACCAGGTTTTGAATATCTCTGAGGTTGGAGACTCCACAGCCTCTCTCTGCTACCTGTGCCAGTGTTCAACCATCCTTCCACAGTTTTGGTTGGGGTTTTTTTAGTTGTTTTTTCTTAGAAGTATTTTCTTATGGAATTTTACACACTTCGATTTGTGCCTCTACCCCTTTGTCCTGTCACCAGGCACCAGTGAAGAGTCTGCTTCTGCCTTCTGTACTTTTCCCCCCATCAGATATTTATACACATTGATAAGATCCCACTGAGCCCTCTCTTTTCTAGGCTGAACCATCCCAGCTCTCTCCTCTTCGTATGAGAGATGCTCCAGTCCTTTAGTGATCTTTGTGGTCCTTGGCTGGACTTGATCCAGTAAGTCTGTGTCTCTCTTGGACTGGGAATGAAAAACTGAAAGGAAGACAGGGAATCTAGTACACCTCACACTTCTGTACAAAGTTCATGTATTTTATTACTCAAGCACTGCACACACTTGCAGGTTGTACAGACTGATGAGACTGCAAGGAAACCAGATCATATTCCAGTCAGCAGTGAGGATGAAAGAAATGCTATTTTCCAGCTGGAGAAGTCTATACTATCCAATGAAGCTCTGGAAAGTAAGTAGTGCAAACTAGCCTTATAGCTTATTAACATCTTGCAGTTGCACTGGCAGTAGTGTAATGTTCAGGTCTTTGGATAAAGCAGTTCTTTAATTCTGCAAGAAGCAGATAGCTGCTATCTAAAACTTTTTGAAATGCCATGCACATAACTGTCCTTATTACTTCACATTACACTGTGAAGCTGTATTTCTGAGATTCCTGCAAGTTTTACGCTTCTCTGTTATACTTGCCTGTAAGTACAACCCTGATGACAGTGAGCAAGCAGCAGGGAATTGAACTCTAAGGAGGGAAAGGGTCTTGGCTAGATCCCAGATGGACCGAAGATGATTCTGGTATGAGAAGGTTGAGTATTACTAATTACAGGAATCAACCTGAAATTATCCTAAACTGTGAAGGTTGTTAGAGTCTTCTGGAGCATCTTCTAATTATGTTAAAATGAGCATGCTTGAATCCCATTTTTGTGCCTAGCCACATGAAGAGATCACTGGGCAACAACTACATGCATACATTTTTAGCTTGTGAACCCAGGGGAGAAAGATAAGCTTAGCTCTAACCCATCGCATGGAGTGTCAGCCCCAACACCTGTCTCCCATGCTACTGAGTCCATAGTGAAATAGTTACAGGTAAACAAAGCTCATAGAAGGAGTTCTCACAGGATAGGAGCTATAATGAGGTGGGGTGTGTAAGAAACATCCTTAGGACTGTCCAAAATCTAATGCTCTTATTACGAGGAAAATCAAATTATGGAGCTCTGTTGGTATTTCTTTCATTACTCACTTTTAACAACTGGTATTGATGATTGATAGGGCATTTCTAGCAAGCAGACCAAGTTCCAGAATGTGAAAGTTTTAATTTGTAAGGCTCTAGTTCCCTATAAGTTATGTTTAGGACATCTTCAGGTTTCTAATAATAATTTTTGCTCTTTTATTTTTTTCATGAGCAGATGATTTGCAAATGAAGCCCATCTCCTTTGAAAAAGATGATGATAGTAATGGGCATATAGATTTCATAACAGCAGCATCAAACTTGCGAGCCAAGATGTACAACATTGAACCAGCAGATCGGTTCAAAACAAAGCGTATTGCTGGAAAGATTATTCCTGCAATTGCAACAGCTACTGCTGCAGTGTCAGGGCTGGTGCGTATGTTTTTTAAAATGCTTAAAATGCATATTTCTTTCTCTTACTGTTCCTTGGCCCAAACCACTGTTGTCTGGATATTGATTAACACTACCCTGATAGAGCCTCATTAAAGAAATGTGTTTATTTCAAACAATAATATTTTTATTTTCATGTACCAATACGATTGTTCTTGGTTATAGATGTTTTAAGCCCTTGATGCTTCATTTCTGATTTGATGACCAGAAAGAGGAGTTGGAGATCAGCATCTTGGTTTGTTTTCTGCACTTAATGCTAGCTTTGGTCAGAGCACCACTGCCAAGAGCAGAAAGGATCCATTCTGTAGTAGTTCACATTCATGCACCTCAACAGAACTGCAGGCTTTGTGGAGGTGTCTTGAATCTAACAACTTCAGAAGAGTCCTACACTAGAAGACTTTTGAATTTTTTAAATACTTTCATTAGCAGCAACAGAATTTATTTCTGTGGCATATTGGGTTGCGTTTCCAGGTGGGATTTACTCTGCCAATTGGACAGCTACTCATTAACAATTTACTCTATAGTTGCTGGCCTCTTCACTAAACTAGTGTTGATAATGCAGTAACTAAAACCTGTGTTTGGTCTCATAGTAGTATGGGATTCTTATTTACTGCAGGTTGCACTGGAACTCATTAAAGTTGTGGGTGGCTACTCAGCTGATGCATACAAGAACTGTTTTCTGAACCTAGCCATTCCCATAATGATCTTTACAGAAACTGCTGAAGTAAGAAGAACAGAAATCAGGTAGGAAGAACAATAATAGAAGGGCAGTATTTGGAAACCTGGTAATTGATGCTTAGAACTTTGTGAGCCATTACAAAAAGTGTGAAATTTGTAGTTATTAAATCCACACAACCAGATTAAGGCCTTATGTGCTCACATAGCAGAACTATGATGGAACCACAATTCATGGTCATACTCCAATTAAATGTTATAGGTATTCAAGGTTATTTTGTTGTTCTTTAAACTTGGAAAATCATAAAGCACTTAGTACTTGCTGTCAAACTCTATTATCTGTTTACTACATACTGCAAAAGGTGTAAGTGATATTCTTAGTACCGCCAAGGGTGTCCCATAATGCATTGCTCAAGAATTTCCTGTTTGGAAAATGCAGCACATGCTCTTCTGTCCTAATTTTTATAATAGTGATTTTAAGGGCTTAGTTTTGTTTTCAGTGGAAGCTGTTGCTAGTTAGGCTTTATATATCTAGATGAGTTAGATATGCAGTGTGGTTATTAAGCATCCTGTCTGCAGAGACTGGACACACTTTTGCATCTTAGTCAAAATGAGCTATTTTTCAGCAGGTCTGAAAACTCAGAAAGTTCATTGCCAGATACCATGTTTACGCAGAGTTCTTACTGTTCCTTGTGCTTAGCCAAGTCAAAAGACTGGAGAAATGGCAGCAGAGAGGGAAGAGATTTTTGCTCAAGTTGAAACAGGGAGTCGCTAAAAGGCATAACAGTTCTTCAGTACATGTAGGGGAAGTGCCTGAGTTCATATTCTAAAGTAACAAACAACCTTTTTCTTTTTAAAACAGAAATGGGATATCATTTACAATCTGGGACAGGTGGACAGTTTATGGGAAAGAGGATTTTACTCTGTTGGACTTCATAAATGCTGTCCGAGTAAGTTAGCTACTGTACTGGGTTAATACAAGATGACAGAGAAGCGTTTTCTTGTTTTGGGTTGTTGGTTGGGGTTTCCTTGGTTTTGTTTGTTTGTTTGTTTTCTTTTATCAAGTTACTGTTCAAACCAGAGTAATTCTAGAAAGAATTAATGTCAACAGTGATGTCTCTAAGTAAATGTGTCTGAGCCTATTTTCAAATTCTTTGTTAATTCAATTGGCTCAAATGTATCTTAATAAGACTTCAGTCATCATCATGCATTAGCAAGTTTTCTGGTTGGAATCCTATGATTTTGAATAATTATTTGTGGTATTAGCAGTTGTAGCATCTACTGGCTTGTGCAGCTGTTCTAGTCCTTTAATAAGTTTTAATTTGTGAATTCCAGGAGAAATATGGAATTGAACCAACTATGGTTGTACAGGGAGTCAAAATGCTGTATGTTCCTGTGATGCCCGGTCATATTAAAAGATTAAAGCTGACGTAAGTATAACTGGGAGATGTCTTGAGGGGTGCGAATGCATGTACAAATTATTTGCTGATTGTATCGTAAGGGCGTACGTCTGACAGCAATGTATTCTCTCAGAGTGGTTGCTAGTCATTAATACTGGGGAAAGAAAGAAGGTAACTTTTTTTTTTTTTTTTTTTTTTTTTTTCCCCAAAAGGAAAAAAAAAGAAAGTGAATTAACTTCTGTGGTGAAGACAGGATGCTTGTAAAATGCTACTCTTAACTGATGAATGCCAGAATGAGAAACCCAAAGCAGTCTGACAATAAGGTTTTTGGGAAAGAATGTACCTTAATTCGAGAAGAACAAGACTAATCAAACCTTTTAAAATTAGAACTTAGGGTGATATTTAGCAACATAGCTCTGAAAGAATTAAAACACTTATTCAGGAAGGAGTTAATGTATTGGTTGCAATTGAGATTTCTTGAAGTCTGTTCAGTTCATAGTGATTCCTTGAATTTCTAGCTCACTTTATGTCACTTGAAAATGAAGACAGTCGTGAGGCTTTGCAGGGCTGCTCACTGACAGGAAATTGGGGTATAATAAACTGAAAGTTTGGGAGGATGTGAAGGCAGGGCATTGTTTTTTGACTGATAGGCCTTTGCAAAGTAACAGCCAGATCTCACCCAGGTTTAGCTGTAGCTTTTATGTTGATTGAACTTGTTTAGCTCAAAATTTGTTCCTTACAGCTCCTGTGAAGTGTGTGCTGATCAGGGTTCACAGGCTTTGCTAAAGCAAGGGGATGCATTCGTCAGTACTGTTTTGAAGTTCTGTCAGTAGGTAATCTCAGGCAAAGTGGCATATGTTATGGGCAAGCTACTTCAAAATTCCAGAGAGTGAAAAGCTTCTAAGTTTGTAGAGCTTTTAGAGTGTCTGGCATACTAAGATGTGAATTTACAGCCTATCTCAAAATAAGTTTTTAATATTCTTTCTCCTACAGCTGTATAAATCATTTGGAATGAGTGGGGTGTGTAACAAAGTCAAAGGCATGGTGTGAAGCTGCCTTCTTGTGACTATCAGGATTTGTTATTACCCTGAAACTTGGTTCAAGCTTTCCATGTAGTTATGGCAACCTGGGGTTCCGTTACAAGCAGTCCTCAAAGCTTTATAAGATATGTTTGCACAGCAAACTCTGGTCTTGCTTGTGTGTTTGTTTTTCTTAGTGTTTAAAATCTTTCTCTGGCTAACATAAGCATTGCAAGACTGTCTTTATTTTAGAACTACAACACTGACTGGTAGCATACTCCTTAAAAGCAAGTTTTAGAGACATAGTGATCTGCCTTGCTCTGTAGCTTGGGGCTTCCTCATGCAAATGGATATGATCTCCGTATATCTGCTGAGAAGAGGCTAATGCCTTGTGTTCTTGCAAACGAACTTTGGGGAAAGCAGCTTTTTGACCTGTGTGCTAAAAGCATAGCCAGAAGGGAAATCCTTCTCTAAGTGACCTCTGAGGAATAGAAATGAGTGACTGTATTCCCCCAGCCTCCTAGCATTTGAGCTGGCCTCATGAACTAGTGCTCCGAGTTGGCAAGAAAGTAATTCTGAGGCATCTAAATGTATGAAATTAAAGTGATTGACCTTCTACTTCAGTATTTTATTGTGCAACTTTCAAGCAATAGCTGTAGCTTTTGAGACTGCAGAGAGCAAAGGGGAGAAGTTGCACTAAGACATGACACGCTTACCTAGTTTAAACTCACATTGTGGTCATGAGGGAAGAAGTCTCAGATCCTGGCTGGTTTCCCCCCCTCATTGCTGTTCACTTTGACATACATTCAAGGACTTAAGTCCTGACTCCAGTAGAATTACATCCCATCAGAACTGCATATCTAATGTTTGCACTGTAATGGTTCTCTGTAATAATACATTAAAACTAGCCATTGTTGGTGGACTGAGAACTTACTCCTCCTCATTGACCAAAATCCTGCACAGAAAGTGAACTTTGCCTTGTGCCTCAGTAGGACACCAAAGAGAAACTCTGTCAGTGAGGAATCCCATCTGAAACTGGTCATTTTCTCTTTTGTACTGAGCATTTGTTAGCAAACAATGTAATAGGTTGCTAAAGGGCTAAGTCTGTCAAGAAAATGGAATAGTGTTCCTCAGGTGGAGAAACAGCTTTTGTGTCAAAATTAAAAGGTGGCTTATTCTCCAGTTTAATCTGGTTTCTAGCATGTTTGGCTTTATTACTGGCAGTGAAATTCATCCTAGGCTGGCCCTGAATTCTGACTGCCAGTCCTCCTCCTGGTCTGTTAACAAACTGTTCTTCATTTCCTTGTAGGATGCAAAAGCTCGTGAAACCATCAGCTGATAAGAAGTATGTGGATTTGACAGTATCATTTGCTCCAGAGACTGATGGAGAGGAAGACTTGCCAGGACCACCAGTGAGATACTACTTTGTTCAGGAAGACAATTGATGGTAGAGACACACAAGTCACTCCTGGACCATTTGTTCTGAAAGGAGTGTGCTAATTTTCAGCTATTAAAGATGGTACTATATGTTTCTTTTTGGTGAAGCCTTAATTAAAACAAAGGGTGAAAATCAGTGGCTTTGCACTGAAGACAAACTGGATTTATGTTTCATCTCCTGTTTTCTTCAAACCTGTTTGCTCAAAGGAGGTTTGGTCACTCCATGAGATGGAATGTCTAGTATGATCCTTACCTTAAAGACAAGATTTGTATTAATTTGTGGGGAGCTGAAGAAGTCAAGAAGAATGGTGAACCTAATGAATGGTCCCCATGTGCAAATTAGGCACTGCTTAAAGAAGAGCAAAAAATGGGGAAACTGCCATTTTATGATACTCCTGGTGTTCTAAGAACATCTTGAACCCATTTCATATGTTACCTAATTCTCAAACAAGAGTTTCACTCTTGCCATCTACATGTGAGATTTAATCTCATCTGGAAGGTTTAAAGTCCCACTTAAAAGCAAATGAACTGCTTTATTGTGGTGTTGGTACTCTCTTCTGCACAGTGAGTGATGCTGTGTGTCAAGCACCTGTCTTATGTCAGTCTTAACATGGAAACAGGGAGGCAGATCTTGAGTAGGTGTAAATTGTCACAGCTCCCCTGAAGTAAAGAGAGCTGGAGTTGGTGATTATCTGCACTAAGACTGTTCCTTGGGGAATACTGCAATATGGCGAAAGTGGAAACCTATTGGAAAGCTGAGTTAACACTTTCAACAATAAAACTTTGTCTTCAAGAAAAAGTCAGTGTTTGGTGTAGTTGAGCCTTTCTGCTCTTACCAAATCAAAAACACTGTAGCAAATGATAACTCTGAAAGGAGGAACTGGGAAGTGGCTCTGGATGTTTATCATGGCAAACAGTTTTCTCAGCAGCTTCTTCTGGTACCATTTCCTTATAGCAATTGATTATGCTGTACAGCTGTCCACAGGACAAGTCTGAGTCACACTGAACACTGAGGTTTTTATTGTCATCAGTCAGTTACTAGGATATCTAAGTATAAAGAGTTTGCTTAATTAGAAATAATTAGGAACTAGCTTTGCTGCTGTGGTGAGACAGGTGCATTACAGAAACATCCATTACAACCTTATTTTCTCTTATCATTTGAACACTGGATAGTTGAGCTGGCAGTTCTTTTTTTCTCCCAGTGATGGTAGAGTGAATTGGAGTTTGAATAAAAGCTTATAAACTGGAAAACCTTTCTATGTGTTTTAAGCTTTAGAGACTGTGATTGCACATTTATCTTCTGCAGCTGTTGCAAAAGCTACTGGCAACTTGGCTACTTACCCTTGGTCATATTTTTTTAAGCTTTAGGAATATCTTCACATTTAATGAACATTATTGGTTAGGAATTTTACCTCTCCTTTTTTCCCTTCTTGGTTTGATGCAGTCAGGATTAACAGCTATTACACTGGGTACTTGAACACCAAGTTGTATGGAACTGAATAGCTGGAATCAATACAATTATTCCAATATTTGGGATTTAGTCATATCTGTGGGATGTCTTCTGGAAAGTGTATATAGTTTTACAGTCAGTCTAGTTTATAGATATAATTTTCTAGATTAATAACGCTGCTTTTTAAGCTACCTAACTTCATTTTTTTTTTTAAGATCTACTTTTAAAGAAACTTTGAAACAGGAGGAAAGATGACTATAGAGTGCGGTGCTAAGGATCACTTAAAGACTTAGGTCAAGTCAAAAGCACTGTCACCTCTCATAGTTGGAGATTGGGAAACAAATGAAACTGAGTAGGGACACATTAGTGTGGTGTTAACACTATGCTCATGCTTTTGAAGTAAGTAGCATATAGAAGTAGTAAAGTCTCAGTACCTTGCTAGAATGGCATTGGATGGTCCTCAGGGTTTAAAGTAAATTTTTAGATATAATTAATGGTATGGCCTTCATTAGTGACTACACATGCAGCTTTGTGAGACCCTTGCCAAAAAGTCCAGGTCAAGGTTGGCCAGAATTTACAGACATCGCTGTTACCCCTCTACTGCTCTTTTTGTGTGTATCTGTTGGATGGATATCTATTCTGTGGATGGGTTCTGCTCAGTTAAACAGTTGCTAATGGAAAACCAAAATGCATGATGATATTTATTAGCAGTCATTTAAAATTTTCTGGATATAAGTTAACATAGGTAAAATCTTACAAGTAATCTAAAGAGGGTTTTATCTGGAAGAACTGTGCTTATCAAGTGAGTCATTAAAACTGTTTTAAAACTTTCTGAATTGCTCATATGGAGAGTATTTATATTGAAGGTTGTTCAGGGTGGAGTGAGCTGATTCAGTGTGAATTTGTGTTTGATACAGCCCATTTCTCAGTCTGTTACTGCTTTTTATCAAAAGTCTCAGCAGGTGCTCATCATAATCACACTAAAAGAGCTCAGTCACACTGGGCAAGTGAATTTCAGAGTGCTGGTCTTCCAGATCTCCAGTGTTGTCACTACCAGTGCTAGCAGTACAGAAGCTCATAGCTCTATCTGGAATCTGAGAATTGCTTTTTTTTTTTTTTTTTATTGTAATGAAAGTGTCTGTGTGTCTAAGACTGTTTGATGTTCTATTCCCATGGTGCAGCTAGAGCTAGCTATCTTCCTGAAGCAATGGAGAACTGTCTTTCCACTAGAACACTTTTAATAGCGTTCCTTCAAAATTTTATTATTTGACAGAGCACTTGACTTGCAGAGATGAAGTTTTTAATATTATAATAGTATTAGAGATCTTTCTCACTGAAATGCTTTCATACAGAGTTTGCTCATATTTTCACTAGTTTTCCCTTAATTTCTCCCATTCTTAATCGTTGCAGGCATTCAGCACTCAGTTCAACTGTTCTCTGTGATTAATCATGGTTTTTTAATGCTAGGAGTAGTGAGGATTCTGCATGAAGATCATGCTACTGTTAGCAAGACTGTTTTGGCAGATCTCATGGATTTAGGGCTTTACCTATACAAGGAGTAAAAAGTACACATTTTCAGTGTTTTACCCCCCTTTTCCTATGTATGGTGAATGTGAATGGTTTCCTTTTGGGGGGATGGTGGGGAGTGGTGTTGCTTTTTGTTTTGTGTTTTTTTTTTTAAAAGTGCTACATAGAAAGAACAAGAACAACTTTGGTACCAGCTGTGCCTGTGTGAATGCAGAAACCCTGTCACCTGATCACAGCATCTCACATCCTGAAATACTGTGGATTTGAGCCAGGCAGAGTTTTGGATATCTGTCTGACTTATGTCAAACATAAGTAAAGGCTTTAAATTCTTAGTTTTTCCTTGTGTCTTTGAAACAATGTGGCTGTAGGCCAGTTGTTTTAGTAGTTAAGAAAGGAACTGAATTTCAGCCAAATGCAACTGCTTTATTAGCTTGAAAGGTTTATCCATCCTGTTAATTATCTCCTGGTTTGCAATTAAAGAAAGCATACTCTGCTGCAGCACAGTGCAACAATCTAACCTTTGTCCAAAGTTTGGTAAGTTTTGACCAGATAGCTTTTGAGAGTTTATTTTAGTAAACGTGTCTTTTGGTATCTTTTGTGTGGTTGATGAAGTAGCTTGGTGTGGGTGTTTACCCAGGCTGCAGAAAGCTTACTGAGGCTCAAGCTTAAAGGTGTTATGAGTTACAGCATGGATAACACCAGCAGAACTGTCTTGCTAGTAAGTGAATCATTTTGTATGACAAAAGTGCGATTCAATAAAGTATCATGTTTCAACTTCTCACAGCAACACACAAGTTTCAGTTTCCATATCGAGGAAGAGCTGCAACTCTAACCTGATGCATTACCGAGCAGCACCATCTTCAAAAAATGATCATAAGTATTTTCATGAAAAGAAAGTGCTAAAGTCTCATGTTATGTTTGTCCTTTTATAAATATAGTGGGTGTGCCTACATATAGTCACACATAATTTATTATTTAAAAATATACAGGCATTCTTTTAAAATAATCTTCCCAAGCCTTGACTGACTTCCGTAATCCTTGAAACGAGTAATAATTTATTTGTGATTCCCAGCTGATATCAGAGGAACATGACAATCTATCTTGGTCTGGGAATAAGAGCAATTGTACCTAGATCCCTCCCTGTGTGTTTAGTGAAGGCTCTAGCTGCTTCAGTACCTAGATCATAGCTGAGCTCTGTGAATGCTCCTCCACCGCTGTCCTAGAAGAGATGCAGTTTATTTGGTTGGGTTCTTTTAAAGAAAAAAGCTAGGCTCTGGAGCTAGTTATTTACACTAACTATGAAGGAGTGTGTAGCTCAGCAGTGGGTACCCATCCTGGAAGCACTTTATTCAGTCTAGCTGCCTAGCAGAACTTAGAGGCTCAAAATACTAACCTGGGATCTTACTGCTGATGGCTGAAGTTGCTTGTTTTGAAGGCTGGATCCCCAGTTTCCAGGAAGATGGATGTTGTGTCTAGGGTTCAGTGGGATTCCACAGCTGTTTAGTTTGATCAGCAGGGCTCTTCATGCCCTGCTGCCTTCCCTCCTTACCAGCTGTGCAGTCTTGTCTTCCTTGTGCACTCACTGGGGCTTGTTTTGGCTCATGAAGAAGGTAGTTTGGAGAACTTAACCAACTGGGACACTAACTTTATTTTTGTTTAGTTTCCTGCATTAGCTCACGGCAGAGTCTGATGAAGACCCCTGCTGGCACGTAGAAGGGCTGGGAATGTTCATCTGGGCAGGAGATGCCTCAGTTTGCTTGGATTTATTCCCTCCCTCAGTTGCATTATATAGGAAATGCACCAGCCACCTTACTTGAGATGTTCCATCTCCTGTAAGGATTGCATGACCTTGCAGAGCACCAGGGACCCCCAGTTTAAGCTACCCAGACTTGTATTTTCTGCTTTTTTTTTTTTGTCTGTATCGCACAGTGCTCAAAGGCTGAGTAGAGGTGAGGTATCCCTGCTAATGTCTGTCAGATCTCATAAATGTCTCTGATACTGTTACAAGTAAGTAGACAAGAAATGGGGTTTTTAACATGAAGAGTTTATTGCACTGGTATCCAGTGACAGCACTGAGCACACAACCACTCTCTACCTAATTTCAATACAATATTCTTCCCTTGCCTTTTGCAGGGACAATGTGCCCTCTCTTTCCCACTCTTGTCTTGTCTTCTTTTTTCACAGGAATTGGGGTTATTTGCCCTCCTCATACCTCAGCAGTTTCTCTGAGAGAAGCTGCATCATATTCTTGGTTTAGGGCGAACAGATGTTCTGTTGATTGAGAAAGAATAGCTTGAGGAATGCCTTCTGTTTACCTTCCACAGTATGGAGCTCCTGTGCTGCTTCTCGTGCATGTGTCTTTTAGCAAGACTTCCTGTGTGTGCCTTAAGCAACTAACTTTCTTTCAGAACACTGGGTCCTCTGCAGCAGCATGCGTCTCTATAACAAACGGCTTCAGGTTCCCTTGAGTTTGGGTCACAAAGTAACTGACAACATCCTGAAGGCTTGGGAGTGTCACCTGTTTCACCAAAACAACAACAAAAAACAAGAAAAAAAATCCATTCAATAAAACATGCTACATGTGTTGAGAATACATTTTCGAAAACATGCTGGCAGGCTGGGATCCCTAGCAATATTTGTCAAACAACTGATATTAGATTTCCATCCAGCATTTGGATGCTGTGGGGTCTAGGACATCCCTCTGAAATCTATGGTTGCGTTTTGACCCTTGAACATGTAAGTCCTTCCCTTCCATCAAATGAGTAAACAAAGCAAAAGAGAGTTCACTCTCTGCACTGTTGTGCTTTTCATTGACTGCTGGTTCTTTTTCAGCAGATGGCTTTACAACAGATGCTTTTTCAAACCAATAGGATGTTTCTCAGGCCATGAGTTAAACATGTTTTAAGAAAAGTGGAAGAAAACGGTTTTAAACAAAACAACAGGGTCCATGCAGTCTTGCTCAAACTTAAACTGAGTTAATTTTATTTCTCCAAGTTGGATGGAGTGCATTTTGCACTTCTCTAGCTGCAATGAGAGCTAGTTCTTGGGCTTAGTACTGAAGCCTGAGTTGGGGGAAAAAAAAAAAAAAAAAAAGAGAAAAATGAAGCAATCTTGGGTGTTTTGTGAGTGGTTTGATTTTATTTTTGTTAGAGAGAAGATGCTGATGTGTGGGTTTTTTCCCTACTTGTTCTTTGAGATTAGGTTAGTTGGACTAACAAGAAAGGTGAACTCTCTGCATGCTCTACTTTGACTTACAAATTATAGTTAGAAATTTACTAGAGCTTTTCTAATTTTCTGCAAAGTCATATTTCTTACACCTGCTTAAGAATCTTCAACAAGAGAATGGCTCACCTGTTTTTCCAATTTGATAATGTAACTTGTTCCTGTGGACATCACTTTGTAGTGCTTTAAGCATGGGGCACTGAAAGGAAATGAAAGTTGATATGCTGCCTGAAATGAAATACTTTTTGATGTATTGTTGTCATTATAAACTCCTTTTCAGGAGCAATTGCTGTAATATCCCCAGAGTTTACTGAAGGTGTGTGCAGGGTTTGTTTTTGCCTGGTCTTAGTTTAGAAACACCGGGTATTGCAAAAGTCAGTCTTCGTGTCTCAGGTGCCTCTTGTTCTGAAGCTCTGCAAAAACATGGCAATCCAGTTGAAATGTGGTGTGTTTTTAGACTAAGTTACTGTTTGAAAATACTTGTCTCTAGTTTTTAATTCATTTTACGAAGTGGTATGGCTTGTTCCAGTGTCATTCTGTGTGATGATTTCTTAAACTGAATAGTGTTTCATGGCAAACAGGGGAAGCCCATTTACCCAGGGAAATGGGCTTTTGCTGGATGATCTTTACTGCTTCTTTGTTTAATCTAATTGGCTTTGGAGGAGGAAAGAACAAAGAAATCAGTCTCAGGCCCGCCCCTTAATAAGGCTACCTTATTTGCCCTCTCAAAATAGCCTGAAGGTAAGGTGTATGTTTCACATGTCGAACTCTGGGAATTAAGAATTCAGCTTTTAATACAGTATGTACTAGTTAAGAATGGGATGACATTGTGGAATCAACCTACTCCAGTTTGTGTCGGATGGTGATTGCATAGTTCTTACTGTCGCTGCCAGGACGCAGGATCAAATTCCCACATGAAGGGTTCTTTTCTAACATCTCTATTGCTTCTTGCCGAGACACGGCATAAAAGCACCTGCATAGAAGGGAGGAGAGAAACAGCATGAATGTGAGTTATGCTGGCAAGGCCACATCATTTTTGAGCTCTGTGAAGAGATGCGATCTGCCAGGCTAACACCTCTTCACAATGCTGGGCTTATCCAGGGCAACTAGCCATGGCTGCCAAGAGGCATGACATCTGGAGGACTCTTGCTGATGAATGCTACTATAGGAACATAGGATAGCAGTGCTTTGGCCTTCTCGGAGAGAAAGTGAAGCTTTCATACAGGTATGATGCTTTCTGGACCCTTGGAAAGAATGTGAGAAGAGTAACCTGGACTTAACCTTGAAATTCTCAATGGTAATCAGCATTTTCTCAGAAGGGCAGATACAGCAGCCCAACATGTGGCTTTCTGAAAAGTTTTTTAGGCATAGCAATACGCTGCACTCAGCCTTTTCAAAACAAAGCATTGTAGGAAAGCTGCAGGAATAATCTGTCCCTTAGGAAAATCTGTAAACGCCTTAAGGTAGATTTTGTTCACTGAATATTATACAACCCTTGTACAATAGCTGAATTTGGAACCCCTGCATGTAAATAATACTTTGAAAGAAGAAGAGAAGCCTCTTTAGTCAGGTTGAGGTTCGTATAGTTGAGTCGGAGCTTACGTTGGCATAGTGGTCAGTGTACTGCTGGGAGGGCTTTTCCTGCTCAAGGATGTGCTGGGACAGTTGTTACACATAATCCTTTTCTTTTCTTTCTCTAGCACTTCATGCATTCTTCTAAGTTGCCCAGGTAGTAATGACTCATGTGGTGGAACTGACAGCTGAAAATGAACAGCATAGTTGAAAAAATGAAAGAGTGAACAAACATTGTGAGCAATTGTTTTTGTGTGTGCATCATGGCTAATCTCTGAGTGTAGCTGCTGTGCAGAAATCTTTCTTACCTGCTTGGTAATCTGGAAGGTTTGGATATGCCTTTGCATTGAATAAAATGCTGCACACATGTTTTTGTTAAAATAGTGAAATAAGGATATCTGTGTCCTGATTTAGAAGAAATGTCCATTGACAGAATTAGGAATGATGTAAAAGTCCACAATATTTTGCAGTTGCTATACTGCAAAAGGCTGTGTAAATGAAATTTAACCAATTTTAGCCATCCTAATTTTTTTATATGATTTAGCTAGGCCAGTGTAAAGTCATTTGTGAACAAACTTCCTTTATTTTTGTACTGGTCAGTATTAAAGAGGGTCTTGCTATTTTTAAAGTGCATTTACCTAAGAAAAATACTAAAATAAAACACAGGGCTGAGGAGGTTCTCTCAAATGTGCAGTTTGGCCACTTGTTTGGTTATGTCTTTATCCCATGATAAAGACTTAAAGAGTTGTCTCTCTCAGAGCAGGCTCCCCTTTTCACAGCTGCAGGGGATGGACTTGGGCTAGAAGTCCTTTCCTTCCCGGACAGCAAACAGTGGGTTGGGAACTCTGTCTGACCAGCTACCATGGCAGAGTGTGTATTGCATGTGAGCTGGGCTTAAATCAGCCTGAATTTTTCTCTCTTCAGGAAAACAAAACAAAACAAAAAGCAACAACCAAAAAAACCCCAACAAAACCCCTGAACAGCTTAGTGTGTAAGAACACATCAGAAGCCAGACTTTGTGCCTGTGGAAGCCACTTCTGGCATGGGTGAAGACAAAACCCCCTTACAGACACTTCTGACATGAAGTGAGATACAAAACTCTTCCATACCTTTGTTACGGTGAGAATAAAACCTTTCCATTCTTTCCCACATTCACAGTCATTGGCCTGAGAGAAGAGAATATGATGGTATAAAAACTACAGCAATAACAAAAAATGTATGATATTTCATGAGGAGGCCTCAAATCCTTTTCCATGCCTGGAAATGAGCTCCCTGCCAGGTTCCATCACAGCCCAAAACCCTGCACTTCCCCAGTACTACATGTTCAGTTACAGGGAGAAGACAGAGGCAGGAAGGTAAAAAAATTACATGCTCTGTTGGAGTAAAAGGAGAAGGTTATGTGCATTCAAGGAGAAGGCCATGCTAAGGAGATAGGTGTGCCTCAAGTATAAAAACTTCTAGATAGGCCCTGAGCACTGCAGTCTGCATGGCTTCTGAATGGTGGGGTGGTCAGATATTTCATCCCCTTTTTGGTTTTACAGGTATGTGAGCCAGTCAGTGTGATACTTCTTGATTTCTCTTGTACATTTTCTTGTTCAAGTTGTTTCTTGTTTCATATTCCCAGATCCTTCTGAGAAAAATTCGTGATGCCTTGAGGGGAAGTTTCCCTGGTGTTGGGTTTCTATGCCCTGCCTCCGACCCCTGACTGCCTTTTAGTGCTGCCTGGCAGCAGGTTGTACATTTTGGTGTCAAGAAGCCAGCTTGATGCCCATACCAAAATGGTGCTCTGGGTATCTGTGGGAGATGGAGTAAAGTATTAAGTAGTTTACAAATCACAGCTTTCCCCTTTTTACCTTCAGTTCAAGTTCCCCATTTGGCAGCATCAGGATGAACTGTGCAGAGTTATTTTCATCTGGATAAACACTGGTTGCTGACATCAAAGCTGATATATCTAATTTCTGTGAGTACTTAGGAGGGAGGAAAAGAGAAATATCACAAGTTGTAATTTTCACCAAAAATCTAACTGCTTTCTGAAGGAATTGTTTAAAAGAAAATAGACTGAAACTTTTTTGTGCTAGAACTTGGGTTAAGTTTAACTGATAGACGTGCCAAAGCTCAGTCCTTTGCTTTTGTTTACAGAAGCTCTTCTCACTTCCCATCTTAGTCTTCATAATCACAGATTAAATCCACAAGACCTCCCTGAATATTTGCTTTGTGACCTGAACTAAGCCCTCAACTGGAGTACAGTGTCATAACACCAAGCACTTCTTCCTCAGCTGCATAAAGGAGGGTCATGTTACACATCATAATAATTTTACACTTGTGCACAGCTGAAAAAAAAGCATTCAGTAAAATTAGGGAGCAGTGTGGATACTTTGTAGCTCAGGTGCCCCAAAATACTCCTTTTTTGTTCTGCTGAGGCAAACTATTACAATGTTGTTTGTTTCACTCTGGCTTTTTTTGATGTCAGCCTTTCTGTTACAATGTTCAGTACTATTTTTTTTGGACTATGGAGATGAGAGGAAACGACGCTAAGAGATGCCTGCAGTACATAAGGATTACTTGATGAAAATAACTGATGAACTTAATCAGATGAGTAGTTACAAAGATAGCAGGTTACTCACAGTTGGGGCTTTCTTATCATCATAAAAGAAGAGTGTAGTTCCTCTGAGTTCTGTCCAATACGCTGTGAATTCCTGTTGAAAATGAGGAAGTGTCAGTTTGTGAAGATGATCTTTTTAGTTCCCACAAAATGCTGAAAGTGAAAGAACTGCTAAGAAAAAACTGTCGTCATATGTTAGCTTTCAGTGGTTTAAATAGTTAAAAAGCAAGTATGTGTTTTGTAGGCAGTGTAAGAAAAAAGAAGTTCAGTAAATAACTCCACAGGCAAAAGGATATATAGGCTCTAGGCTTTGTCTTCTAGTATCCTAATCCGACATGGAACTAGAAAATCTCACTTTTAACTAATTTAAATTTTTTAAAAACATTTGACAACAATTAGTCTAACAATTTAAAGGGAGAATATAAGGGAAGAGAAATACATTTTGAATGCCACTTTAAAATCTTGCTCTTGCTAAAAATGGAAAATAGTGTGACATGAACACATAAAGACTCCAGTTTTCTGAACACTATTCTCTTGAAGTGTCTGCATTGAATTTTGATCCTGACAGTTTACTTGCTATAGGGAGATCATGGAACTTGATGGTAGTCTGACCTACTAACTGGGCTTCTTGCATTTGAAGTGGTATTTTACATGCTTTGTCTTTAAATTATGTGTAGTAGTGCTCATAAATCAACACCATGCCGAGGTAAATATGATTGTCTGACTCTTCTAACTTCCCTATTGCAGTCATGCCAGAGTGACGGAAAAGGTTTTTCTATTTTCACGTGTCCCTGATACCTATAGCTATTATGGGACTCTGAGTTGGGAAGGCAACTTCTTGTAAAACAGAAACTCTGTTCTAGTTTTCATTTTACTTACTTGTTTTGTGTTTAGGTTGTACCTGTTTGGGTTTTTTTTTGGTTTTTTTTTTTTTTTTTTTGAGGTGGGTATTTAAAACATGGTCGCAAAGATTGTGAGAAGAAATGGCTTGTGAAGTCTGATAGGTCATACAAATTAGGATGAGCAACATGCCCTAGAGTATCCTGCAGGTAATCCTTGCTCTTTACCCTGCTATCTCTTAACTAGTCTTTCTGGTGGTTTCTCTCAAATGACTAGCATTACTAGCATTGAGTCTCTGGACCCCAACATCTGAGCACTGCAGTGTTGTGTTAAGGTAAATATCCTTGTTAAACCATCTGTCCCTGGCAAGTTACTGCAGGCTGTGAATGCTTGCTGTGGTATGGGGCTGCATGTCATGGGAAATTTTTGAACTGCACCTTATGAAAATGCAGTAAAAGTAGTTGCCCAGGAGTGCTTGTTATTGTTTCACAGCCATGAATATGTTTTTCTCTTGGGTGTCTGGTCTCTCAAAAGTGATAATACACCTCATTGATTCACATAAGTCTCTTCAGATTGGCTGCATATTATTGCTCTGCCCTGTTAATCTTTTTAATTCCAGTATGGTAGTTACTGAGTTTCAGGAGGAGGGATTGTTCAGGAATAAAATAAAGTTTTACATAAACAGATATAAATAAAGGAATGTAACAGGGAGCTTTGTTAAACTTGCAGTTGTTCTGCTAAATACAACAAAGCAATGTACTGAATAATTTCTAGTGTTGCAGAAGAATTAATAGTGAGATTATTAGCCCACTTTTTGTTTCTTTGAGTTCTATTTTGTGTGGTACTTGGTTGTTCCCGTGTTTATGAACCACCAAGACATTTTGGTCTTTTGATTGTATCTACCTTTAGCACTGCATGACTCTCTCTACTCTGTCTGTGCTTCTGCATCTACAGAGGTGAGTGTAGGTTGGGTAAAAACGACTTTGTAATTGTAAGTACAGGTATGTAATGTACATGTCATTATCGAGTTCTAAAAAAGGGCAATCAGCTTGAGTAGGGATATGCTCTGAACATACATGCTATTGTAACATACACAAGCATGTAGGCATTTACAGATTTGTGTCTTAAATAGTTATATTGGGTAAAAAAAATCACACATTTTCCTAGTTAGCCCATGTATGTTAAATCATCAGCCCTTACTAACAAGAAGAAGGAAAAAAAAGATGTAGAAAATCTCATATATACTTCAGATGGCGTGTCACTGAATACTTCAGTATGGACACTGTTCTCCAGTAAATAGAGAACGCATCGGAGCAATATAACCATGTCATACTTTGCTCTTGGTATTAAAAATGTTGCATTAGCTTTTCACCATGGTGGTAGCTATGAAATCAGTCAAACCCAATTCACATTTCAGTAAGTAATAGTGAATTATAATGTATCCCAGAGATATTGATGGTTACCTTACATAATTTATTTTATATACACACCCTCCCCCCCATAATAGGAGCAGAAATAAACAGATACCATTATTTCAGTGCAACCATTTGTGTCAGCCAGTGCTGAGAAACATTTCCCCCCGCAGACCTGTAGATCCCAGCAATATATTGTTGAAGAAATACTTTGACACTTCCTTGGACTGCATGCCTTACCTGGCATCTTGAGTGCCGGACAGACAGGTAACCTTGCAAGTACAAAGGCAGACCAGTGATCCTCTGCCTCTCCTGGAAGATTTGCCGGGGGGCTGGCTTAGGAGTTTCCTCGGGCTGCTCCCTAATGCCTCTCAGCATCCTTTAGATATCTCGGTTGGATATTCTCTGTTGCTGTGCTCCTTTTTTCCCCTTCACTTCTGTTGCGCTCAGTCTGCTCCGTATCAGCCTCAGTCAGAGAACTCGCCCTGGTGAGAGGGGGGTGAAAAAGCAGCACCTCAAAGAGGAAGTGTCCGTATTTGCTTTTAGGTCAGCACACACCAACAACTCTGCTTGGTGGACGATCATGGGAGGAACCAAACTGAATAGATTAAAGGGATCTTTTTCCTTTAGAGTGTGCTCTTTGGGTTTTCTCGAGGGAAGGCTTTCAAATGCATGTTGGTACAAAAGTGCACCATTCCTGTGATGGGTGTCACCTGGAGGTCATGGCGGAAAAGTCTCCTTTCGATGGCTTACAGCACTGGACTTTTCATGGGCTGCTGCCACTGGGGAGACTGCTCTTCAGCTGCCTCTGAAATAAAATTTAAAGTTTTCATTAGGAGAATGGATTAATTTTGAGACTGTCAGAGTTGAACTTTCTTTAGCAAATGTCTAGAGGGATTACAGGACGTTAACAGTAATATTGGGAAATAAATCTACCTATGTTTTTTTTATAACTGGCAAGGATAAATCAACTTTGCAATGTGCATGTAGGAAGACTTTTGTTGTGAAAGAGCTAATTAATATACCAAAGCCTTTAGAGAAATTATGAAGGGAGATGGTAGTTCAGGAATGAAATGTTGGCACTGATGAAATGAGGGGTGAAATTTTCCATCAGTTTCAAAGAATCATGATATTTAACTTAGTTTCCGGCCTTTCCCTTAGTGGTCAGAAAGAATAGGATGTAAGACTTGGTGTTTAGATGCTGGTTGCTACAAAATGCAAAGCAAACATTATTTTAAAAAAAAAAAAAAAAAGACTTGTTTTTTATTGAACATCTTTCTGGTCTTTTCTGTTTCTCAGCTGTGCATAGGTGTAGGATGATTATGTAATTGGTCAGTAAGTTGATCTGTGATAGATCAGATAGCTGCTGACCAGCTCTAGCAGAAGAGGGGTTCAGCCCTACATATGAAAATAAATTCTCCATATCATCTCTAAAAATGGCGGGGGACAGGTACAAGTTCTTAGATTTTGACTGAATTGCAGATTTTTATACATGTTCTCTATTGATTGTGGTTAAAGGTCAGAATTTTACTTTATTGTTGAATGTTGCAGAAAAGCTAATGAACATGGGTACCTGCACCTTTGCTTGGCAAGCCTGATGATGACAAGCCAGCACTTAGTCCACTGCTTGCTGTTAAGAAATACTAGGCATTTAAGTAAGTTTCAGATAGAATGAATCACTTTGAATTAGTTTGATAGACAGAAGGAGACAGAAACCCCTGGCCAGCAAATAATCCAAACTGGGATGATAGTACAGGGGATCAAGCTGCTTATCAGACGGACAAACATCCTAGTGATTTTTGGTGACTTGTCTGACAAGCTCTGCTAAAATATGAAGGAATGACGCTGGAGAATTTTAATGAAGTGCAGGGGTGGCAGGGAGAGAAACTGCAAAAAAATTTGAGTGTTGCTGTGTTTGTATATGATGGGCATGAAGAAAGGCAAAATGCTGGACAGACTAAAGAATGGAAAAAAGCAAAAAACAGAAGACAAAGTTACTGGCTGGAATTTATCAGTGAGAGATGGGGGCCAAGGAGGGAGAAAACAATATGGGGTCTGGATTAAGACCAGGTGAAAAAGAAAGGGGAATGGGAAGGAATGCTGGAAGGGCAGGTTATTGGGGGAATTATATACATGTACAATGAAAATGCCCACTCTGTCTGTGGAAAAGGACAAGAGAAGGAAACTATCATGAGGGTGAACTGCCCTGGGAGGACTCAGTCACAGACACTGGCGGGGC